AATATTACTTAACAGATCTGGATATTGTTTTCCATTGAATTCTCGAAAATAATCGTATAAATCTCGAGCTCGAATCATATCGTCTCGATTGGGTAAAACTAAAAATTCAAAAATGTCTAAAATATTCGGAATTCGAATGGTATGTAATTCCAATCGTTTATATTGTGTATCTTCACACAACTTTTTATGCATAAGGTAAATTATTGTCAATGATGTTACAATAAATCGGCTATAACCCGCAGGATCTGTTGGTTTATTGTTCGAATAATAAAAATCCAAAGCTTCACTTTCATAATCTTCATAAAAGGATTGTAAACTTTCAAAACACTTATATCCAATTTGCGATAGTAATGAGCGATTAATCCATCGTTCTAAACAGAAGCATACCCAATTTTCAATATGTGCCAATGCGATACACTTGTTATCATTATCATGATTGATTAAATCCGAAACTCTAGGTAATGTACCATCTCCATGAATAACACTATTTAATGTCATCTGTGCCGAAGTATATCCGTAAGAGTTTTGCCGAAGCGATGTACTGGTATGCTGAAGATAAGATCTTAATTTCTTACATGAATGTTGACAGACTTCTAGTTGATCAGAATCTAAGTAAACTTTTGATAATTTTTGTAGTTCTTTTTGTTCAATGGGTGTTTGCCAATTCGGATTAGGTATCAGAAGATCAATTTTCTGTTTTATTTCTTCTGTTGTATTTTGTATCCATGGAGTTATATTACTCGAATCCATTCTTGATAATAATACTTCAATCTTATTCAGTCTTCGTACAATTTTTCGTAGACAATGCACTAGTAATTCAATCGATATTTGTCTTGTGGAAATAGAATAAATTAAAAAGTTAGTAATAAGTAATTTATAAACGATAGTACCAATATTTCCCAAACGTTTATTGAGAATGGTATGAAAAACAACTTTGATTGTCATCCATAGGCCTGATCGTCGAAACGGAAATGATGAATATTTATATCGGATTTGATCACGATGTTTTTTCCTAAACGAGACAGGTTCATTGACTTGATTATTGATTTGAACTCCTTGAAATTGCATGATCCACCATTGACATACATAATGCGATATGGGTACTTCAAGAGTGTTATTAAAAGAATATGATGCTTTGGTAGCTTTCGAAAACTCGATTGTATTGTTCATGAACTCTACAAGTAGTTCGCAATGAGCACGAGATAGCAATTGAGATCGATCTGGCAATCGAAATGTAGGAACCGGAAAACAAGAGAAATGTGGTTCTAATGATGACGTTATATTTTGTGTTGGTAATAAAACTTGCCAGGACGAAATCAATGGTTGATGAGGAGGATTTTCATCAATTTCAATCAAAATTGCAGCATTTTGAGCAAGAAAATAGAGTGGAAGAAAATCACCTGGTGTTAACTGTTGAATCGTTGATTGTAACATTGATGCAATGCAGTTTTCCATATTTTGAATAATGGACCAACGTTCAATGCATTTCCGAAGGGTTGATATGACTGGCAATTCATTCGTTGTATCCAGTGATTTTATAAAATCATTCATAAATTCAAGTATTTTGTATTCATTTTGGTTTCTAGATTCCATAAGATAATCAATTTCTAATGATGATAGATCATGTGGAAGAAATAAATGATTTAAAATTGATTGATTCATTTCTTTTGAATTCAACGAAGAAACGTTGTCGTAAGACGGAGTTTGATGATAATTAAAGAGAAACATCTGCAAAATTAAAATAAGAAAATAAAAAAGCTTGAGGGTTGTGACATCGTCCGCATTGGAGACCTCAATATTTTCAACAGTGATTACTTACATACAACAGAATAGAGTAAAAAGGACTATGGTTTGTATACCCACTGTCATCGACAAAAGGTGTGTGGGTGTGGGTGTGGGTTGGTGTATTGCCTTGTACTATACGCAC